ATTGACAATTGAAAGGACTAGACAACATGGACTTAGATAGTTTCATTTGGACTAACCATACGATGTTTGGGTAGATTGAGCAGTGAGATAAACAAGGGAACTTTCGAGATACACTAAAAGTTAATTATCTAGAACTATGACTCAACATTTCCTTGATGTATGGACTCGTGTCCTTAATTCCTGTATTGATAGGGCGACTGGGGGGTTCTGATAATGTAGGTCTGTAGGAAATTAATTTCTTGCTTTCTATCTGTCAGTCATATGTTGCCTTCTTTGCGTGATTGGAACATATCCGACCTAAAATGCAACTTATGCAACTCCATCTCTATGCATCGTCTAATGTATGCAATTCTTTCTATCTGTTAGCCATATGTTGTCCCTTCTACATAATCAGAAGATCCGACCTGGGACACAACATGTGCACCCTACTATCTCTAATCCTCTATCTATGTTAGACATATGTTGTTCCCTCTGCGTGATTGGAAGACATCTGACCTGGGATACAACATATGCATTTCTATATCTGTCTTCCCTCTTAATGATTAAATACTCACTTAAAGTAAGGAGTTATTTGGAAGTTCTTGATTACTGGGGTATATCAGGAAGTGGGAAACACGACTAGTACATCTAAAATTGAACCATTTAATAGGTTGTCTATAGATCTCACTACTTAATTTAAGTGGACAACAATATCATTGGTCATCTTCAGCTAAATGTCTATTTAAGTATATAGGTACAACTGTCTTGTCACTTATAACATGTACAATTTGTCAATATCCTTTGTGTTTAAGTAGACCGCAATACCGGTGATTAACCAAATCTAGACATGCAGGTTTGTACCGATAAACGATATTAAATTGTTTGACAACTTTGAACCCAAAAGTTTTAAATTTAGTCACTGTTTTTGTTAAATTTGTACATAGTTTTCTCTATGGTCAAGTTTAAGGGGAGAATTAAAATTTAAAAAATCAAACAAAAATCAAAAATCCAAAAATATTGTTATTTCTGTTTTATTTTGTTTAGAAAAATCAAAAAAATCCAAATATATTTTTCTTTTGTTTTATTTTTTTTCCAGAAAATATAAAACAACCAAAAATATTGTGTGCTAAGTTTTCTTTTACTTTTGTTTTTATCTCAAAATTTTCTTTGTCTTGAAAAGTTAATTCAGATGTAGATTAGACTCATGGAGACTGTATCGAGATTTTTTGAGCCAAAGCTTCATCCATGATTGTTGAAGACTTCTGATTCGAAGGAACAATAAATGAAGATTATTCTTTCAACATTCAATCTTTCAACCCCAGAAGCAAGGTGAAGTTGTACTTGAACATTATGTGACAAATTGAATTGAAGTCTCCTCAATCAATTCGCTACTATCTATGAACCTGCTGAAGTGATCTAGAAGATTAGCTCTCTCTATTATTCTCTTTGAAGATTTTCAAGTTAAAAGTGCCATTTTCAAGAATCTTTTCCAGAAGCCTCCACACCCAACGTGCGTTCAGAGTTAAATTTTCAAGAAAAGCCCAACTGCTCAAGATAAAGTCATTTATTTAAAATTCTTCAAGTTCATCTGGAAACTGTGAAGAAATTGAAGATTAACGCTGAAGCTAATCTTCAAATGAAGATTAACAAGAATAGCCAACTACATTTTTAGGGGGAGTTTGATGGTTCAAAGAAAAGAAAGCTATAAACCAAGGAGGAGATTCTTGGGTAAAAAATATGGTTTATACTTTACTTTTCTAAGCTTTTATAGTTTTCGGTCCATGTGGTGTGTGCGGTTAGGAGAGTTCACAGCCCTGGTGGGTGTTTACGGCCGTGAACTGGTTCACGACCGTGTATCGGTTCACAACACATGTTCCATATAAATAGATGTTAGATGGTAGAGGAAGTTAACGACTAGAAGAGAGAGAACTAGTGTGTGTTTTTGGATCTTGTATGTTGGAGCATCATTCTAATCATAAAAACATTGAAGATTCATCTTATTCTTCTTCTCCTTCTTATTTTGATCTTGCATCATCCAAATGATTAGGATTCCGCACCATCAATTGGATCTGATTGATACATCAAGCAAATTTGGGAGTTACAGTTGCCTTAATGCTCCTCCTTCCAAGTTTATGAATGAAATTCTTGCTTCCAAGCCTTAGAACCAGTGTTTTATCCCTCCAAAGTAACAATTTCTCTAGAGCATAAACTCCCAATTCGGAGGCTAATGTTATATATTTATACTTTTTCCCGCAATCAGAGCACCATGTTGTGGTAAGGAGACCACGCTGTGGTAATCTTGTTTATCTTGTGTTCCACAAGTCTTCGAAGTTGATCGGGATTCTTCAAGTCAGACGCTGTGGTAAGGCCACCACGCCGTGTTGGGTGTATTTTTCATCATTTAAGAGCTTTGATCCGAGCTTCCGACTTCCAGCATCCTTTTTGCTCCACGCATGGATTTTTCCCCTACAACATAATTCATACAAATTAAGTATCTTTTGTTCTAATAAGGGTATAAAAGTAATTAAAATATTAAATTATGATTTATAATTATGTGTATAATATACACATATCAAATTACCCCACACTTATTCTTTGCTCGCCCACAAGAAAATTGATTTTTAAATTTTTTTTTTTACCAGTAATGTGCAAAACAATTCATTTTATATCCAACCATTATCCCAAGACCTCAAATCATGTATCTGTGTCTATAACTCCTAAGAACTTCGCACTCCTAAATACTCACAATCCTTATGAACCTGCACCCCTTAGCTTATATAACACTCATTATTACAACCCTCCGAATCAATCCCCAGAAATCTTTCTTAACCTCAATGTATTTTTGGCTAAACAACCAAGCATACATAAATTCTAGAAATTACAACTCTGATACCACAATGGAGCTCTTGAATTCTTCATTTTCTTCGTATATTTGATTTCTTTGTATTCATCACCTTTTGTGTAATTTTTTTTTGGTATCTTTAACTTTTTGGGTTTCAATAGAATTTTGATCGTTTGATCTTCATACTTTGATAGCTCCAAAATTATTTTACTTTTTGGTAATTTTCTCTCTTTTTTTTTTATGTATAAATCACTTTTTTTCACTCAAAATTTACATGCTTAAGCAAGGAGCTTAGCTTCGACGTTTATTGGTTAAGGTATTAGTCTAAGTGCAATGACTACCTACGCTTTCCTGGATAGATTTCAAGTTTAGGCTGCAGAGCATAATTTGCCATATAAGCTACCAGATTACCTTTCATACCTCATGACTTTTCACTAGGAAATGGAAAGCCACAAATACATTGTAACTTGTGTTGGCTCGAGTAAACATTTGGGTGTTCAATGGATCATCCCACACTATACTAGCCAAATTAGCTAACTTTCCTAATTTAAACTATTATTTCAAGCTTATATGAATGCAAATTTTGAAACTAGCAATGCAAAAATTTTGAAAATCAAATGTTTTTTTTCTCCTGCAATATACCCCCTACCCCACACTTATTTCATGCAATGCCCTCATTTCATGTTATGCAAAACAAATAATTAAAAATAGGGAGAAAAAGGAATAGACTCCCCTGTGATAGAAGATGCAGCTCGAATCGTGTGTAAGGTCGCTAGCTTATGCTGAAGTGTGGAAATGGAATTGCTAAAATGGTAGAGTTTTTACGTGATGCAAAATTCCCCCACGACATAGGAATGTGTCAACCATGTGGTGGCAACCGGGACAATATTTCATCTATGGGGTGGGAAAAGCTCATCCACACCATGAGAATGAATATGAAACTAGAAATACCACTCTTGAATGCCTAGACTGCTGAAAGTACCGGGTCGGACTCGGAAAACAGACTCGAGAAGCACCACCCCATGGTAGATGTCACCATGTCGTGGTGAACCAACAGATTAATATCGAGGTATTTTATCTGCTACAACATGGTGTGGTGTGGATTACCACATTGTGTTGGTCATGTAAGTGCAATATTCTATGCCTGAATTATTTGATTCCCGAAAGATAAGTGACTCCACTAATATATAAAGTTGTTGGACATGACTCCTCACTCTATGAGGCAAATAAACACCCGAAAAATGTGCGCAAATCTCGCTTCTCTCGTCGTCTCCTAAGCGTGATCTTATAAAGAACCTTCTTTTTCCCTAATACCCTTACTTGGACTCTAAAATAATACATTGAAACTAAAACAAGGAAAAATAATAAAATAAGGAAACATTTGTCCAACAACCTAACCAAAAGAAAAATAGTGTTCAAACAACCACACCAAATAAAACAAAAATAAAAAGAAAATGAAATAAAGAAACAAGTCTTGAAGCCACTAAATCAAAAGGATAAAACTCTCACTCTTCATCTTCTTCATCATCAGCTCCTCCACTACTACCGCCAGCCCCACCTTGTTGCTCCCTCAATAGCTCCTCCCAACTTGGTGTATATGGATAAACTGGAGGAAAAGTAGTAGGCCGGGTCACATGCATTTGATGCATAAGGTGTCCAATTCCATGTTAGTGTAGTTAACACCTCATGCCAAGTTATCATCAAACCTCCTCATAGAAATGTTATAAGGATCCTTGGGCATCTCGTCATTGGTTGGGACAACTGGTGGCTCATGTTCTTCAGGTTAATTTCCCCTTGGTCGTACCCGCCTTGGAACTCATCCTCGTTGAGTGTCATCGAGAATACCAAAATTACCATATCCATGAGCAACAACAATATTTGTCCTCTTATAAAGAAGTGTGCAGAAAGGCTTTTGTGGTTCCACAATCAACATCATGGCTTTGCGTTTTTCAAGTACACTATATGAATGTGCTAGCTGGGTAATCAACATCCTACCATGTAATGGAGACCCTCGTGTATCTTTCGATGCCTATACCGCAAGAAAATCCGCCAACAGACATGGTGTTTCCACATGAGTATTTCCGAAAGTAAGAGCCCATAAGAAGAATACGTCTATAGTTGAGTACTTATCCCCTTCTTGTCGTTGATTAATAGTGTTGGTAGTTAGGCGGTGTAGCAATCAATGGATAGGAGAGCGGATATTACTCTCTTGCGCAGTACCCTTTTCATACACTCCATTAACAATTGCATTCCAATGCAAATCTACTTTAAACCCCTCTATATTTCTCAAAAAACCTGCAATATATTGTTGATTAGGTTTGGAATGAACTTCAGACGAAAGGTAAATTCCCATCCTTAGTGTAAAATCCGCAAGGCTAAGTGTACGCCTCTCACCACCGAGGCAAAAAGTGAGGTTGTTATTAGGATAAATGCCATCCTTCCTTGAAAAAGTCATTGTGGCTAGAAATTCGATGACTAGTTCCTTGTACATGATCTCTTGAATTTAGAATATCTGCCTCCAACCCAAACAAAGAAATTGCCCATGAACGCTTTCAAACGTTTTATCAAGATATGGTTCAATTGCTTCCATCAATCCGGTTTCGCTCATCCACTGCCAATCTACCACTGTGGGTACATGAACTTTCCGTTGATTTAGCCAATCTAGCTTTGCATTCCATCTAGTATAAACCCCGAGCCAAAAATTTAGCAGAAACGTGTACCATGGTTAGTCGGGATGACTTCCGGGTTGGTTGCGTCTTGGTCGGTTGGCCATGTTTGCAAAATAACCACAAAGAACACACAAAGAACACACAAAGAACCCTATGCATTATTACAATCAAAATATAATAGAAAAGCCTCAAAATAGCCCACCACGACGAGGACTGCGACGAGTCGTCGTGGTCGTTGTACTGTCGACATTTTCTAGTCAAATCGGACCTTAATTCATACGATTTCCACTCAATACAACTTCAGGGTTTGTTCTAGGCATAATATAGAGTAGAATGGTAACAAAATCAAGGGGAAAAACAACCAAAATCGAGTCTGGTTTTTGCAAAAATCAGAACCCTAGGTTCCTAATATTGGCCCTAAATGTGTTCTAATCAGCAAATATGTACCTTATACCATCATATATAGCGATTGAGAGCAGAGAAATCACATAAAAATCATACCTTTTGGTTGAAAATGCAAGAAATCGATTAGAATGCAAGGATGTTCTTCGTGGAGATGGAACACACTGATAGAGAGGCTTAGTGAAAAGTAAGAATTGTTTTGACCGGTGTTTAAAAACCCTAATTTAACTACAGTTATTTTAACACCACGTCGTGGTGATACCTTGAAATTTTTTTTACGGGTTCTGTAAAATTACCAACTTGGGGTGGCTTTCACCATGTTGTCTTGATACATTTTTAAAAAATGTCCAATTTAGTCAAAATTTTATATAAACCTCCACCTCACACTCATTTTATTCCATTCCCACGTTGAATTCCATAGAAAATCAGAAGAATGAGAGAATCAAACATAAATAAAAGAAAAGAAAACAAAAGAATAATAAAGAAAAATAAAGGGAAAGGAAAGAGAAATGAAAAATCAAAATCACAGGTTGCCTCCTGCAAGCGCTTCTTTTTGGGGAGTCATAAACCGGACTCTTTCCCTCTTCACGTTGTTTCAGCTCGCGTGAATTTGACGATTTCCCGCTCTTATTATTCAATTGGTAAACCTTCTTCATAATGCTTCACTCTATGCCCATTAACTTTGAAAGGGGTTCCATCTCTCGATATAAGCTCGATAGCTCCATGTGGGAATACTTATTTAACTATGAAAGGCCCAGCCCACTTTGTTTGTAGCTTGCCCGGGAAAAACTTTAACCTTGAATTGAAGAGTAACACCTTTTGTCCTTCATGAAAATCCTTATTACCCTTTAGTCTCATGTCATGCCATTTCTTAGTCTTGTCTTTATATATTAATGAACTTGTGTAAGCTTCGTTTCTAAGTTCTTCAAGGGCAGTCATTTGCATTAACCGGTTGGTGCGAAGTTCAGCTTACTCAAAATTACACATTTTAAAGCCCAAAATGCATTATGCTCTATTTCAACCGGCAAGTGACTATTTTTTCCATAAACTAACCTATATGGTGTAGTACCAATAGGCGTTTTAAAAATCGTTCGAAAGGCCCAAATTGCATAATCAAGCTTATCCAACCACTCCTTTCTATTCCCTATAATCGATCTCTCCAATATTCTTTTTAATGCCTGGTTCGTCACTTCAGTTTGCCCACTTGTTTGTGGATGATATGCTATTGAAAATATGTGGTGTACACCATACTTTTGTAACACCTTAGGTAATTAATCATTTGCAAAGTGGGTGCCCCGGTCACTAATAAGAGCTTTAGGAACTCCACACCTCGAGAATAACTTCTTAAGAAAACACACCACCACTCGAGCATCATTAGTAGGTAATGCTTGTGCTTCCGCCCATTTAGATATGTAGTCGACTGCCACCAAGATATATTTATTCTTTTTTTACACTGGGAATGGTCCCATAGAGTCAATCCCCCAAATATAAAATATCTCACAAACCTGAATGATATTTTGGGGCATCTCGTTTCGGGATGTTATGTTCCCAGTTCGTTGGCACGAATCGCATTCTTTGACATATTGAGAAGCATCTTTAAAAAATGTAGTCCAATAAAAACCGATATCAAAAATCTTTTTAGCTGTATATTGTGCTCCATGATGCCCTCTAATGGGCCCGTTATGGCAATGTTCCAAGATTTCCTGACTCTCTTTCCCGAACGCACATCTTCGTATCATTCCGTCTGCACAGCTTCGAAAAATGTATGGCTCATCCCAAAAGTAACACTTGATTTCCGAAAAGAATTTCTTCTTTTGTTGTTGGGTTAAATCTTTTGGAATGTATTCACTTGCTAAGTAATTAGCTATATCTACAAACCATGTTACCTCTCCTGCTAAAACCAAAATATATTATTTGGGAAAATCATCTCCAATCTAGTTTTCCTCCAATTTTTCCAAATGTGGGTTCTCTAATATTGATAAATGATTGGCAACTACGTTCTCCATTCCCTTTTTATCTCTTATTTCAATATCGAATTCTTGTAGAAGTAAAACCCAACATATCAATCTTGGTTTAGCATCTTCTTTAGCAAATAAATACTTCAGGGTAGAATGGTCGATGAAAACAATTGTCTTGGAAAAAACTAAATATGATCGGAATTTATCAAAAGCATAGACCACCTCTAGCAACTCTTCTCGGTAGTAGTATAGTTCTCTTAAGTCGGGTTTAAAGTTTTACTTGCAAAATACATAGGCTGAAAATGTTTGTCAATTCTTTGTCCCAAAACGGCTCCTAGCGCATAGTCACTAGCATCACACATTAGCCCGAAAGGAAGACTCCAATTTGTGGCTATCATAATAGGAGTGGTGGTCAAGCTTTCTTTTAACATTTGAAATGCTTCATGACATTCTTTAGAAAAATTGAATGGAGCATCCTTCAAAAGAAGTCGAGTAAAAGGCCGAGTGATCTTTGAAAAGTCTTTAATGAAATGATGATAAAATCTTGCATGGCCAAGAAAGCTCCATACCCCTTTCACATTTGTTGGGGGTGGTAATTTAGCTATCGTGTCAAATTTTTCTCTATCTACCTCGATCCCTAATCTTGAAACCTTGTATCCTAACACAATCCTTTCCTTTACCATGAAGTGCCAATTTTCCTAATTTAGTACTAGGTTTGACTTCTCACATCGTGCTAACATTAGGTCTAAGTTGGATAAGAAATCTTCAAAAGCGGATCCAAAAATCGAGAAGTCATCCATGAAAACCTCCATAAATTTCTCGATCATGTCATGGAAGATAGAAATCATGGACCTTGGAATGTAGTAGATGCCTTTCATAACCTGAAAGGCATGCATCTGTATGAAAACGTCCCACTTGGGCATGTAAAAGTGGTCTTTTCTTGTTCTTATGAGTCAATTGGAATTTGGAAGTACTCTAAGAACCCATCAAGAAAACAATAGTATAGATTACCAGAAAGTCTTTTTAGCATTTGGTCAATAAATGGTAGTGGAAAGTGATCCTTACATGTAGCATCATTAAACTTTCTGTAGTCGATGCAGACGCGCCACCCGGTTACTGTTCTTGTTGGGATTAACTCGTTATCTTCATTAGTAACCACCGTGATTCCTCCTTTCTTCAGTACCACGTGGACCAGACTTACCCATGGGGCTATCGGAGATTGTGTAAATGATACTAGCATTTAAAAGTTTAACCACCTCCTTTTTAACCACTTCTTGCATATTTGGGTTAAGTATTCTCTGGCGTTGAACTACAGGTTCTGCTCCTTCTTCTAATTTGATCTTATAAGAACAATAGGCTGGACTAATCCCCTTGATATCAATTATCTTCCATGCTATGGCACCTTGTCTTTTCTTTAGTACTCCTACGAGGCTTTCTTTTTCATGTTTAGCTAAATCAGATGCTATAATTACTGGTTTTTATTGACCATCTTCCAAGAAAGCATACTCCAAGTGCCCGGGTAAAGCTTTAAGCTCTATTTTTTTCATTTCACCAGTGACCACATCGTGGGCTTCTTACCATGTCATGGTGTTGCAAATTTATTATCAGATTGTGAAAAATTATTTGACCACGAGGTGGTGGTTGCACCACGTCGTGTTGCCTCTTCTGCCTCTTTTATTAATTCATTATATTCAGTTTCTTCCAATAGCTTCTCTAATTCTTTGAATATCTTGTTCGGCATCAAAATTACCTTCTTCAAGCACCATAAATCCCTCGGTGTCCTTTTCCTTCCATCCACCTAGCTGCTTTTCAAGTAATTCATCAAGCACATCGATAGAAAAGGTTGTATCATCACTTGTTCTTGAATGTTTAATTGCTTGAATTACCCCTGTTGAGTTTAAGGGTTGCGCCATTGGGGCTTAGTGGTTTCGTCCATTTTGTACTCATGGTTTGGGCCTGTCCAACCATGTTTAGTTTTAGGGTTTGCTTATATATATATATATATATATATATATATATATATATATATATATATATATATATATATATATATATATATATAGTGCATGCATGCATTATACTGTCAGCGCTCTTTATTATTTTCCCACATTAAGTATTGTAACCCTAGCACACCTCTACAGTAGCAATTCTCATTGAATTCTTTTGAGGTGGGGCATATTAATCATTCGACATACGTTTGATTCATCTTGGTGTTTAATTACTTGTCATTAAATATTACCGTTTTATTGATATCTGTTGAATCTATCGATCTTATAGATTTAATTCTCATCAATTGGTATCAGAGTAGGAGACTGTGTACTTCATACAGATCTCTTCTGTTAGAAGAATTTGTTTAGCGTTTCCGCTTTTATCGAATTTGTAGGAGCCATCACTTCTTTATTGACGTTATTTCTTGATTTTGATAAAACCCTAATTCAATCTTTACAAGTCTGATTCTTGCA